TAGAGCCATGAAACTTGAGCTGTTTATGAAACTTTATGCTGATTTTAAATATATGATTAGTTTTCTTGCAAGTTACACACTTTTAGCTCTGCAACATGACAAAGTGAAAACATTAACCCTTTTGCCCCCCTCTTTTCATCTCTTAACTTCTGTAATTTTTTACAATTCATAGTTATAATGCTTCAAATAAAGTGTAGAGTGTAAATAACTAATTGGGAAGCACATACAAAATATGTAATACGTGTGAAAAATAATAGACGTAAGAAGTCCATATTTCACCTGCCCTATTAAAGGTATACATACAATTTTTTATTATACAATAAAATATTGAAATTTAAGGGGAGACGCTCCTCGAAAGCACTTTTTTTTTGTTATTCAACTTAGAGCTTCAGAAATTGGACCACTGATGCAGTTTTTCCTCCTGATTCCAAATCTGTAATCAGTTTTTACATAAGTGCAATAGTTTGGGAGTTGTGTTTCAAGTAATGGTGAAACTTGATAAGTTTTCCGGGAACTTTCGCGCATACTAAATGTTCATGCAGAGAGTTGTTCAATGGCTCCTTTTGCTCCCTATTAGCCATAGAGTGCCGATATCTAGCTAGAAATTGTGCTCCAACTTTGAAACTATGAAAAAAACATCTGTGTAGCAAACTACCCTTTTTTTTCCACTCGACCACCATTAAATTTATTAATAGATATTTACAGCTGATAGGTTGTGCTGATTCAAGTAGATATCGGCACCCTACGCACTCTCCTCAATGTGTGTGCCAAATTTCGTCGTCGTATGACCATTCTAAGTGCCCGAAACACTTCCCGCAAAAAATGCAAATTGGCCAAAATTGCGAAATGAGAAAAACGCGTTTGAAAGTTTGAAAGTCTGTATTTACAAAAATGAAAAACGCAGTAGCACGAAACTTGTGCTGAACACATACACACATGTCCAGAGGGAATATCAGTTGTCTAAAACTCTCCAGCACCGTAGGTTTTCCCTTCCCGGCTGGTGCGGCAGGACTCTTCCACCCGGGCCCTCTTGGCTGCACTGCGACGGTGTGCCCTCGCCTCAGCGGTCTGACGCACATTCATCTTGTGCATGCGCATGCTGTCTCGGCGGTCGCTGAGGGTAACCAGGGCCTCCGAAGGAAGCACCCCAAGCTCTTCCAGCACCTTTTCAAAGCTCGCGTGGCCCCGGTTGAACCACAGGACTGCAATGGCTGTGGCTGTTTCCACAGCAGTCCGGGAAGCAAACCGGGTCTTTGGACACAGCAGCCATATTTTGCTGTTCAGGGACTCGGCCGCGTTCTGTGTCTTGCCGTGGAGGCACCGGGCAAGCAGCTTCGCATCTGTGAGACGCTTGTAGATTGGGAGGACTGCCAAACCCTGGGCCTTGGTCAGGAGGGGGGTGTGGCACGGTGCAGGCTGGCCCTGCGCCTCAGCACGTCGGTGCTTGCACCACGAGTCTGGGCCTGCAGGACAGAACTTGTGACTTCCAGCACCGTCTGTTGAGCACGAGTGCAAACATGAGGCCCATATGGCAGTGTACATCTTGTGGACATTTCCCCGATTGTTCACAATGGCCACCTGAAAGTAAGTTTGAAGCTTCTGGATGGTGGTCTCCTTCAGCTTCTCCCCTCGTGGAAGTGGCGTTGGCAGCTTCCGCAGGCCGGTGCCCAGACGTTTCGCCACGTGGTTGGTGCACTCCTCTTTTTCAATTGGAGTGTCAGGGTACACGTTGGCATCACAGACGCCGTTGTAGGCCTTGCTGTCTCCATCGCTTAGGAAGATGGTGAACCGCAGGGGTGTCTCATAGTCCACAGTCCTCTGCCAAATGCGCACTGCAGCTTCGGCCTCCATGGCATGCGAAGAACAGTCGCAATTCTTCTCACAAACGGGATGATGAAACGCCTGCCATGTTTCTTCATCGCCTCCCATGTCGTTATGCAAACTGCACGCCAGGCAGAAGTTGGAAAGCACTTCATAGTCCAGGCACAAACCAGTGTCCAAGGACACTACAGTTCCCACACCATTGTGGCTTTTGTGGCCTCTTTTTTGCCATGTGCCGTCAAACATGACTGGCACGTCACTGTTACCAGCCACCTCTTTGGTGACGCTGCGTGCCCTTTGCATGTTTTCACAGACAGCCTTCACTGCCGCACTGTGAATCTTTTTGCCGATAGCATGGAAGGTCTTATGGTGCATAGGGTTTGGCAATCCAACTACTGCACAAAATCGTGAAAGTTGCTCATGCCCGATACCGACGGCACGCGCTGCAAGCACCACTTTCAGGTTCACGGCAAAGGCGTCACGCGAACTCCCGCTGTCGTAGCTTCTGCTTGCACCGCGGCCGCCATCTGACGCGACCCGCTTCGACGAGTACGCGGACGAAAGGATGCTCTCCGAGCACTCCGCATTCTCGCAGTGTAGCTCCAGAAACGCCGAAAGGCCTTTCCGCTTTTTATTCGGTGCCCGAACTGCGAGTTTACTCTCGTGACAAACGGGGCATGCCGCGCCTGCGACGACGGCCGTCAATGCACCCAACTCGCACAGCACTACGCTTTCGGCACGATCGGCATTCGGCCTGACGTCGTTTTCGAATAACGCGATCTTTTTCTGCGATGCACTCACAAAATTCACTGCAGCGTTGATCTCGTCGTCGCAGTTGCCATGGTCGACGTTGCCGTGGTCGATGTTAGGCCTACCGGCCGCTGGCCCGTCGCGGACATTTTCGTTGGCGGTGGCTTTCTTGTACGTCCTCCGCCGCTTCCCTCTGAACTTGTTCTTACTTCTGTATTTCCGATGGTCGGCAACGGCCTTTTTCGGGCTTGCCATCGCACGAAAACAGCGAAAAATAACTCCGGAAAACAGTGAAGCGAACTACGGCAAGAAAACACGGGTGCTGTCAGCCAATGGCGGCCCTGCGTTAGTGGCGCGCGGTTTGAAACGGCGGGAAAAGACTGTTTTTGTTGCTTTTTTTTTAGATTTTTCGTGAACGTACGAGACTTCAAGAACCGGGATCGTGGAGAGTAAGGACAACTCTACACGAGCCAGCGGCCGCAATATGGCGGACAGCTCTCTTCGCGGCCCCGCGAGCACGCGAACAGCAGCCCGTTTTGTGTAAATTTCGTGATGCCGCGCGTCACTGCCGCTCACTCAGACGCGTTTTTCACTGACTTCTGATGCTTATTTCGCTGTGATATTTTCAGATGTCAAAATATAATGTATAAAGATGATAAAGCAACAAAAAACAGAAAAGGTGAAATTTGGAAAAAAAACGCGACTTTTCGACCCGCGTCTCCCCTTAAACTAGATAATTGCATTTGTCAAGCTTTAGAAAAAAATTGGGCGAAATTTCATGCAGATCCGAGCACTAAAAGTACCTGAAAGAGGAGGGGGCACATTAGAAAAAATGGCAAAATTTGTGTTTTGAGAAAAACGAGTTTTAAGTTAAAATTGAGGTTTTATTTATGAAAGATATCACTAAACCAGATGAAATTTGCACACCAAAACAACAAACCTTCTTGTAGTGGCCACTGCAACTAAAATACGCCAGCACCATGAGTTTGTCCCTCTCGGCTTTTTCGAGCCCACTCCTCACAGACATTTCGCTCACAGATAGGGCCATGAAACGGTTGCCAAACTTCGGGTTCATCTGGCAGAGCCTTGTGCCAACTGCAAGCTAGGAATAAGTTCGACAGGACTGCGAAATCCGAACTAAGTTCAGTGTCATGCCATTTTGCGGCCATGTTTGTGCCACATACCGTCGTAAATAATGGCAATGCCGTCTTTGCAAAGCTCTCTCACTGCGAGCTCTTTTGACCTCACAAGATTGGTGCTGACATCATCCATCGCCACATCACAAACTTTCCGGCTGACGGGTGTGAATGACTTTTTACGCATTGTCTTTTGCAAGCCAACAAATTAACTGCCGCACATCGGACACTGCCGCACAGCTGCTCGTAGCCTATTCCTACAGAGCACGCCGCACAACAGCTTTCATTTGCGAGCAATGCCTTTTTTCATTCACAACAAAGATAATTACACGAGAAAAGCATTAATCAGCTGCGCTGCTCGACAAGCCATGGACCCCGCAAATAGGTTTCACAGCACATACAGGCGTGCAGCGACCAATGGCGGTCCCCGATTCGTACCATGCGATAAGCCAGTCGCGGCGCTCGAAAAACTCGCAGAAAAGTGCTTCTTTTTATTATTTCTCACGCTGCATCAGCGAGAGAAACTGTTGTTATTTGAAGAGTGAGGCTCGACTCTTCGACTCATGTGATCAACAATGGCGAGCGGCGGCGCATTATCGGCGGCAAGGTGCTCGAAGGCTGCACACTTTCGACCTTTTAACAGGCACCTTTTGCTTTTTAGATGAAATTTTAAAGCATTTCCAGTTAAGTCTCAACCTGTATTATTTTTTTCATAACAGTAGAGGTATTATTCTTATCAAAACAGGTGAAAATAAAAAAATTAGCAATTTTGAAAAAAAACTCGTTTTTCGACGCGCATCTCCCCTTAAGCAAAAGTTCATTTTAAGTGGGTCCGTTATATGTGAGCTCGACTGTATGTGTAGTCTAGGCTGCAGTGGCTCAAAAGTAAATAAATAATATAGAAAGAAGTTTCTAATGTATAATATCATCCTTACATGAACAGGAATATTCTATTGTAATAAAACATACTATTTTACATGAAAGCTATTTTTGTATTCCCACTTGAAGGCAGTTTATGGCCATGACTGCCAGCGCTATGTCACAGCATGTGACGTACAATGATAGCATTCGCCAAGTTAGGGCTAAGCTGCATTTATCAGCAATCCTTGCTTCAGAAAAAGTGTTCACGCATGCATACCCGCACAAATGCCGTTCTCCAAGCGAATTGAAACTGTGTTTAAAAATCTGAGCGTAAGACGGACGCAACAGAGATAGAATTGACAAGGACGAGTATATTTGAACCATAGTTGACTGGTTTTTCTACTTTGTTACAATTTTTTGACATCTGTGCAGAGTACCCCACCACTTGAAGCATTTGAGAAGTGCCCCAAAGTTGCATTCCGGTTGATCTGGGGTCCGTCTGAGGAGAGCGCGAATGCGGAGACTGTGGACCAGGTTCGAGCGACCCGGCCCGTCTTGTCACCCGTAGAACTGAACGTGGCTGAACCTGGGCACAAGCAGACGCGCAGCAGACGCAATGGTGAGCTTCCAGCCGGGGCTAACTTTCTTGAGAGCTTCTTTCCCAAAAGCTTAGCAGGTATAACGAGAGTGTCACAAACAATTTCGACTGGGCTAAGCTTTCCCATGAGCCTTTTTTCCTAAAGCTTAGAAGGTTTGACAAGAGAGTCATGAGGAACAACATTGCCTCCTTTATTAAGATGCCTGAGGAATGGCTCATACTCCCAGCGGAGTCGGCCTTCAGTTTTGAGCAAGCACCGCTTGGTAGCGCTCGCGGCCGACACTATTATCACAGCATCTTTTACTTGCGGCCCATAGGGACGGGTTGGTCGAGAGTTATTCGAGATCTAGAACTGTACACGACCATTTTGGAGGCTATGTGAAATGTCGAGTTGTTGCACCATCCGCCACAGGTAGCGCTAGAGAGCAACACTAATAGAAAAAGAAGGAGGGAAAGGGTGTGGCAGCTCGTTTCTTTTCTCATGCGGCAGGCATCTAGTCTAGGAGGCAATGGGAACAATTTTAACTGGGCTAAGTTTTCCATGAGCCTCTTTCCCTAAAGCTTAGCATATGTGACAAGTGCCAAGAGGAACAATTTCAAGTGGCCTAAGCTTTCCCATAAGCCTCTTTCCTAAAAACTTTGTAGGTGTCACAAGAGTTGACGGGAACGATTCCAATTGGGCTAAGCTTTCCCATGAGCCTCTTTTGGAAGAACTCAGTAGATGAGACAAAAGTGTCATTCATTCATTCATTCACTGTTTATTCAGACAAAAACAATGATTGCCTAGGTTGAAGGTACTAAAGGCAAATTACCTCTGCCTGAATAAGGTCCCTCCGTCCACACATTTGCTCAGGTGAAGTGGAACAAAGGATACTAATTTCATTCTGCTTTTGAATGAGGGGACACAAAATTTAAATTCAACAAGTATAACAGATGTTGACACATACGTTTTAAAATAACACATTACAGTCATCACCAATTTGCAGTACCAATATAAAAAATATATATAAAAAATGCAACAAGAAGAAGTTTCTGACAGAATTACTAAGTCCCATAGAGAAATACATTTGAAAAGAAAGAAATTGAGCAGTTTTCATCGAATATGCAAAAGCAAGAACGACACAAAAGAAATTCTGACAAGGCTGATTTTTCCCGTGAGCCTCCTTGTCAAAAACATAGGTGGGCCAAGAGTATCAGTCAGGAACAATTCCAACCTAAGTTTCAGTCTAAGTCAGCCTAAGTTTCAGTAATCACAGGAGTGTCATAAAGAACAATTGCCACTGGGGTAAGCTCTTCCGCGAGTCTTTTTTAAAGCTTAGCAGGTGTTACAAGAGAGTCATGAGGAACATTCTTAACTAAGCTAACCTTTCTTATGAGCCTCCTTTCCAAGAACTTAGTCCGTGTGACAAGAGTGTCATCAAGAACTATTCTGGCAGGGCTAAGCTTCCCCATGAGCCTCTTGCCCTGAGCTTAGCAGATGTGACAAGTGTCAAGAGGAACAGTTGCAACTGGGCTAAGCTTTCCCGTAACCCTCTTTCCCCAAAACTTTGAAGGTGTGACAGGAGTGTCATAAGAAACAATTAGAATCGGGCTCAGCTTTCTCGTGAGCCTCATTACCAAGAACTTAGTAGGTGTGACAAGAGTGTCATTGAAAACGATTCAGACAGGGCTAAGCTTTCTCATGAGCTTCTTTCCCTAAAGCTTAGCAGATGTGACAAGTGTCACGAAGAGCAATTGCAACTAGGCTAAGCTTTCCCATTAGCCTCTTTTCTAAGTACATAGTGAAAGTGACAAGAGTGGCGTCATAAACAATTCTGACAGGGCTAAGCTTTCTCAGGGACTTCTTTCCCTAAAGCTTAGCAGGTGTGACAAGTGTCGAGAAGAACAACTTCAATGGGGCAAAGCTTTCCCGATAGCCTCTCTCAAAAAACTCGGAAGGTGTGACAAGAGAGTCATAATGAATAATTCATGTAGGACTAAGGTTTCCCACGAGCCTCTTTGCGAAAAATTTAGGTGCGGCAACAGTGTAGGTTACAAACTCTGAGTATGGATTGACGTTTTTTCTCAATGCTCTTACATGCCGTCTGTGTAAAAAGCAAGCATCTTCAGCTACGTGCGCACGCTTCCACAGTCAGGACCACTGGCAAAGGGAGCACATGGATGTGCACCTGTGATTGCTTGCGTCAAAACTGCAAGCGGATGTGAGAACGATGCCCATGCAATGCACGGGCTTGTCAAAAGGAATCAGAACTGACTACCTCGAGCTATCTCCTGTTCTTGAAGTCCTAATGGTGCAAAATAGGGGCAAGCCCCTATTTCGCACCATTAGGACTTCATATCATCACCCAAAGCATACTGGTAATGCAAAAGTTCATTGGCTATCATGTGGTTGAAGCTCGGGCAAATCGATAAAGGTGTAGTCACACGGTAGACATAATAGCGGACGAATTGGTCGTGTGCCACGTTACATGTGCCGTGATTTGGATCTCCGCAGCCAGCATTCAGGGGAGAGCGCATGCTACAAAAGAGGATTTCGGCATTGCTCCACAAGGATCCCAACAATGATTTGGGCCTCCATTGTTTCACGAACCGCTCCATGTGAACCAAAGTAGAAACACGTGAACGGCTGACTTATGGTGGCTTTGTATGCAGTCTGGAGGTCGAATCGGGGTTTCATACATCGTGTGAATACATCTAAAGGATCTGTGAGGGGGCATTGACTGCATATACAAGACTAGGAAAACAGGACAGTTGGAAGTCGGTGTTTTTTATGAACCTGCTTCATTTTCATAATCTTGTGTGTTCTCCGAGTGCTTTCTACATAATTTGTTGCAAAGGATCTTGGGAAAGTTTTGGCATTTGTCCAGTGACTTTGCCTTCTTCAACTTCTTTTCAACCTAGCAGTTCAATGCACCCAGAAAAAGTTTTAAGAGAAGCTATAGATGATTTTACACAATAAACATTAGTTTAACCGTTTATTGAAGTTACCTCGAAGACGCTGTACACATAGTTTTACAGGAGAAATGGGAGAAACACAAGTTAGTTAATATTTACAAAGTCTGGCTCAACGGAATATGTGAAATGAGCATGAAGGACAGTGTCTGAGGGAAGATTGTTCTAGTCGACGACAGTCTTCACAAAGAACGATTACAGATGCGTGGCAGTGCGGGTACAGGGAAAATATGCGGCTTTGTCATGACTGATGCTTTGAGAGATGTGATGAGCTGGATTGATAGGAGAACAGTTATGCAGAACATGAAAAAAAAAAAAGAAAACTTACGAAAGAGTGAAAGCCTTGCAATTTCGCGCCGCATCTGCATGGTCACCACCATCCTTGGGTATGAATGTTCTGCTATTTTTCTATCTTGCGATGCGAGATTCTCAGATTTATAACATTTAATGAACCAACCTGACCTTTTTTATGCATGCGTATCTACCATACCACTGTTCGTGTAGCTGTTAAAGGTACAGAGTGGCAAAGTTAACGGACGTTTGGTAGTTTATGCCTGTTGTGTGCACATTAGAGACGATATGTAATCGAGAAAACAAAGACACGAAAGGGGACTAGAGATGTCTCTTATGTCGTCTCCTGTCTCGTTTGGTGTCTGCGTATTTTGTGCTACAAATTGTGTTTTAAAGTTTACCGCCCAACTTGGCAGAACCAAGGCCTGTCCATAAATTAGTCTAGTATGTCTCTTTCCATGTCATTGTCGCAATCATGTGCTTCGCTTGGCATTGCGATAAATGTTTCCACCCATGGCGCTGTGCACATATTTTTGTGAAAAATGTGTTCACCCGTGGCGTTGCGCACATTTTTTTCAATTCCACAGGAGAGTTGAAGGCAAGTCAGCAGCAGCAGATACAGCCGGCGAGCAGCGGACCGGAGCAGAAGAGTCTGAGCAAGGCAGGCCAGCGCACGCGAGTGGTGTACCAGTTTGTGTACCAGCAGCAGACGCGGCAGCAGACGGAGGCACGAGGCGATATGCGCTGCCCCTGGTGCCTGCTGCAGTGTCGCCTGCTGGCTGCCCTCCTCAAGCACCTCAAGCTCTGCCACGGGCGCTTTGCATTCTCCTATGTGGTACGGCCTCATGGCATTGTTTAGAATTCACTTGGATGTTGCCACACAGCGCTTCTCGTAGCAATCGTCAAATCGCTTATTCAAAAGAGCTCATTGCCTCGCGAATTGACTGTCGCAAAACTGTTCAGAATTCATCGAATACGGCAGAGTTACTGGGTTTTACCGCACATTCTGAGCGCTTTCTCTTCTTTCGTACCAGCGAGCAGGATGAAAGCTGTGCAGAGAAGGGGATGGCAAAGGGACAAGAGGAGGCATCCCTTCATTGGTGCATGTCGTGACCTTGAGCACGTCCCTAATTTTTTTTCTTCGAACGGATGGCTGACTTTCTGTGCAACACCTCCTCTATTTTTTTTTTTTTCAATCCCAGTGCACACGCTCGCTCCTCAATGCTATGCCTTAGTTCAAAAAGTGGTCATGATGCAGTGCCACATGAATAGTGTGGCTACTAGTGTCGCATATGCATTCGAGCACTTTCTGAAGGGAATGCAATAGATGCGCTTTTCCTCTCCACTATCATGCGTCTGTCACATTCGTTCCTTCGTGCTCCTTCCTTTTGGCTCGAAACAGGGCCGCCACCTCACAGCTTTCTTGTGGCACCTCTCAAAGGCAGCGCATGCCAAAGCGTCGCAGTGACGCATCCCTGTTTGTTGCATACGTAGCGGCATCAATGGAGGTGCGCTATTTCAAAACACAGTGTCTCAGAGCCAGCGTGACCGCCAACGTAGCGAACCTGAGGAATGCAAGATGCCGCCCCACAAATCTGTACACGACTGAACAAAAGATTACTTAATCTGACTTCCGTCATGAGGCACCACATAAAGGGTTCTCTCCCCCAGAAATGAATGCAAGGCACATCCGAAGGCTAGCCGAAGGGTGAGAATAGAAGAGGGCCAGAGGAGGTGGTGGGGTATGGCCGAATTTGGCTGGCATTGAAAAAAGGTAAAGGAGGCGCTGTTTCGTATGATGGCACATGTACGCGTGTGGACACCTGGGATGCATTGTGCAGCATCATGCGCCATCTTGCCGAATTTCAAGTTTTAAGACTGTGCTGCAATTGTCGCAATCTCTTTAGTCTTTAGAATATATTCCCCTTTAGGTATGAATTACGTTACATACGAAAAGGACAATGGGTAATGTTTCAGCTGAAAGTTTGACTATGGGTGGTCGTGAAGACTTTTTCGTGTGCTCTATATCGCAACATGCTCCTTTACGGATCGCCGCGAGAGTCTTGGAATGACTTGCTGTTTGTGTCCGACAGCCTCACCCAAAAGGAGCGCGCATCGATGTCTCCATCAACGAGAGCTTCGACGGATCGTACTCCGGCAACCCGCAGCACCTGCACACTCAAACGGGATACGCCTTTGGCTGGACGGGGCCGGCTCGGCGCACGCCCGTCACCTGCGTCTTGGTCTGCCGGTGAGCCTCCGCTTGTTGTGGATTCCGTATTTCCGTATATTGCCCCAATATATTCCGTATATTTTCCATATGTTGCCCAATATATTACAGGTCGTTTCAAGAAATGTGTCTAACATAATAGAAAAAAAATTACATGAAGGAGGTATGTGTGCGCTACTTGCGGCACTACCTTTACTGTGGCAGAGGGCATCATCGCATGTGTACAAGCATTAATTATGACAGTAGTAATGGCAGAAATTAAATTAGTAAAATTTTTTTTACCAGTAGAAATAAGGAATGGAGTCAAATAGGCGAATTCAAGTCCTTCTTGCGAACAGTCGACTGCCACTTCAAATTTTTTTTTTAAGGCAGCCACTGGTAATCACCACGAAGTGATGGAATCTAATTTAGCTGGCAAAACCGAATTGGACGCACCAAACAACGCATATACCATTCACTTCGAAACTTCCTGATGAACAATGCCGTTTCTCTCGCCATTACTAACCATGAATCTAGTAGATACTTTGTTTCGTGGCAGCGCTTTCCTGCCACACGGCCGCTTATCGATGCTCGCTTGTCCTTTTCCCTTGGTTCCAGCAGCAACAGTGCAAGTTTGTAGTAGAGGGTCTCAGGTTATCTTCTGTGCAGCTATCATGTTTCTACCAATTATTTTTTAGTCATTTGCAGTGATATCACCTTCGGTACACGTTTCACTTGAATGAGATGATAGAAAGGGCGTGCGTGATTTTATCGACGTTTACATTAGTTGGCATTACAGAACCATCTGTATTGTGGCTTTTTTTATTATTATTATTTTGTGACGGGGTGTCAAACTTGCAGTGTTCTTGTCGAACTTTTTTGCAAATTTTTTTTTGCGATTAGGCTCGTTTGCTTTGTCAACTGTCACAAAACTCGTCAGCGTAGCTTACGGCTTCCACCTGAAGAGGAGGTGACTGGCCTTCTACGTGATCGTTCCACTGTTATTTTACGGGGACCGATCCCCGGCTGCTAGCGGTGTGTCATTTTATTTCCCGTACTTCTTTCGACATGACCGTTCCTTTGTTATTTTTACGGGGAGCCAATCCCTGGCTGCTTGCGGTGTGTCATTTTATTTCCCGTACTTCTGCTGCCATCTGTTGAGAATTTTTTTTGTTGTTGTTGTTTCAGGCCCAAGAGAGCACCCCTGAGTCTGTCGGAATTCATGGAGCAAGAGGAGCCGGACATCGAGCAGCCACGGCCGTACATCTCTGGGCACAACAGGTGAGCCTACGTCCAGGCCATGCCAACTCTCGAAGCCTTGTCAAGGGAATGGCGATGCTTACATTCTTGTTTTCGTGTTTCGCTATGGTGTCTTAGCGGAAAAAGACGGCTCCTTAGTCTTTTTGAGCGTCTCCTTTTTTTTTTTTACGTCCTTAGAAGCTTGGTGCCGCCGTATGCGCGACTTGTGCATTCTTTACTGCAAGCGTTTCTTGTAGCTCCAAGAAGCATGAACGAGGCAAGATTCGTGTATTCTTGCTAAATAATCTAATGTCTCCTCATTTACGTGGACACCTTTTGGTTTCCGTTTCTGGGCGCCGAGTTGGGCGACAACGTAGCAGTGTAGCTGGCACGGTCATGTGACTACACAAAAGTGTGGTGCACGTCGTGCCAAGTATCGTCTGCTTTCGCACACGCGTGCAAAATAAACATGTCGAGAGTTGCCGGGGCTTGCCGCAACTGCCACGAGCTGTGTATCAAACGATGCCTTGCCGGTACGTACGCTGTGGAAGTGTTGGAGGTCCAGAGGTCACTCACGTCACTACAGATCTGGTGTGGCATCACTACAACTTTCGAGATCTTCGCTGTAGAGCTACGTCAGTGGCGAGTCTCAGTCGGGAGAATCAGCATGTATTCTAAATGTTTGCTGTGTCCAATAATTCGTGTGGATTGTCTTTGCATACGGAGGAAACCCACGGCAGGCTTGTTATAGCCTCGAAATTTGCTGGCACCACTCCTTTAATTTGCAGACTCTACTATCACACGGAAACGTGCCTACCCATCAGGCCTGAGGAGATTGACGAAGACAGTGAAGCTGAGAATGATCCCGAGTGGCTGCGCACCAAGACCCAGATGGTAAGGAGCTGGCTCTGTTACCAGTACTTAGCAAGTTTCAAGACTAAAACTGTAGCATTGTGTTTTCACTGTAGTGTTAGGGAGGGTTAGGGCAACTTTGCGGTTGATTGGTTGTCTGTTTGATTGATTGATTTAGTGATCTGATGGGGGGCTTCTGATTCCCTAATGACACAAAAACTACAAAAGATTGCTACTGTGCACCATAGGTCTGTTTCAACTGCCGGAAGTTTGGGATCTAAATACAGCGGCATTTTGTATTTCGAGTACTTATCCACTTAATCATGGTTATTGTTTTGCATTTGTGGCAGCTTGCACTAAATGAGCATTTAGTTTTTGGCCTTGTGTGCCGCCATTCACTGTGCTCATTGTAAGTCGTACGAGTCGGCGATTCCTGTATTGATAATGCACACCTGGTTTCATGTTGACCCTCGCGGCCAGAGACGTGTGCTGTGAACTGTAGTTTTCGTAACTTAGATTCACCTTGGCGTCGATTGCCACGACAATTTTCTGCTATAGATACATATCTCCCTGTCGGTGCATTTCATGGTTAATTAAAGCCTGTCAGCTCCACTTTCTTTTCTTCCTCTTTTGTAGATGATCGACGAGTTTACTGATGTAAACGAAGGAGAGAAAGAGCTGATGAAGATGTGGAACTTGCATATCATGAAATATGGGTGAGTGTTGGTCTTTCACCGACTCCAGCTACTTATGCATGTCTACTTTGAGCTGTAGACTTGAAAGCTGTCTCATAAACTGACGGACTGGTGGGTGTGCCGTTCTTGGAGTTTCATCTATGTTGCCTCTGGTGCACGATTCTTGTCCGCTGTGTCTCTATGAGAGTTTTGAGTGCGCCACAATGTCTTGGAAAGATAGAGCACCACTATGTTTCATCATGTCGCCAGTGCAGTCCTTGCATGTGGGTTGCAGCGCCTCAATATTTTGACCAGTATACCCATTAAATAAGCTTGGTCTGATGGGAGAGTGAGTTTTGCTGCATAGAATTCATGCTACACCTACTGGACATGGCAAGGAAGCATTACACTGTATTGCTTCACTCATGAATGTGTCAGCTTAAAATTCAAACATCTTGTTTTAGCATGCCTAAACTATATGTGTGCCCCTTGTGGTCCTTACTGCTGGCTTGGCTGGCTCAGCTTGTTTGCCTTTTTATTTGTAGAAATTTAACACATACTAGACTGTTGCAAAACTGTGGGAACCCCCACCTGGAGATACTGAAGAAATGACTGCATTTGCATTTTTTGCTTGCGCTCAGCACTCTAGGCGAGAGGTGCTTTCCCTCTCCCTGTCTTTCTTATCACAGAAAGGTGTACAGAAAACCTGTTCTTTCTCCTTGTTTTTATCATGAAAAGCTGTATGAAAGGTGCGTTCACTCTTCATCCCTGTTATCCCGAAAAGGTGTGCATGAGGTGCTCTTTTCCTCCATCTTAGCATGAAAATGTGTGAAAAGAGTGTTTTTGCCTTCCCTGCTGCTTTTTTATGAAAAGGTGCACAGTAGGTGCTTTGTCTCTTTCTCCCTTTTTATCACAGAAAGGTGTACAGATAACGGTTTCTCTCTCTTTTGCTGTTATCATTAAAAGGTGTCAGAAAGAGTGCACCCTTCTTCCTCTCATCATGAAAAAGTGTACATCAGGTGCCTTCTCTTTGCCTGCATCCTTTCATAGAGAGGTGTACAGAAAGTGTTTTTTCACTGCCTCCTTTCATGAAAAGGTGCATGAAAGTGCTTCCTCCCTTTTCGTAAAAAGGTGCACAAAAGGTGCTTTCTCACCCTTCCTCTGTTATGAAAAGGTTTACAAAAGGTGCTTTCTGTGTTCCTCATATTGTAAATAGAAGTGTGGAATGCGGTTCCTGTCCACCCGTCTCTTTTCTTGAAAAAGCCCTATTCGAGCATTTACTTTTGTGAAGTGACCATTAGTCGGTCAGCAAAAGCGTCACGTGCTCTGTGGATCATACAACTTTTCCTCTCGCGCGTTTTTCAGGTTTGTCGGCGACTGCCAGATAGCGCTTGCCTGCAACTCGTTCGTCGAGATGAAGGGCCAAGAGCTCATTCAGCGAAACCTGTACCGCAACTTCGTCCTGCACATGTGCAACCTGCTTGACTATGGCCTGGTCAGTGCCTCTGTTGTCTACACGACCGTCAAGAATCTGCAAGTGTACTGTGACGTCAGAGACCGCCGATTGCAACTCCCTGCCGCTCATTCGTCGACCGCTCATTCGTCGACCGCTCATTCGTCGGCCGCTCATTCGTCGGCCGCACATTCGTCGGCCGCTCATTCGTCGGCCGCACATTCGTCGGCCGCTCATTCGTCGGCCGCTCATTCGTCGGCCGCTCATTCGTCGGCCGCTCATTTGTAGAGACGCTTTTTCGACCTCGTGCCGGAAATGGCACGGTGTACAGTGACGCGAGTTTTCCGCCAAGCGCCGAAGACTGCAAAATGGAATGTAACACTCTAAAGAGTCCCAGTGTTTCGGGGGCCGCGAATGGGGCAACGCTTGTCGTTTATGGAGTAGAGTGGTGCCCCTTGTGAAAGTGGGGTTGAGGGTGTGAGGCGTGTAGTGGGAGGTGCTTGTACCTTCAGAGCCCTTCTGCCACTGTGCCTCAAAGGCATTCTGCAGGTACGGATGTCTTGTCTTTCCTCGATTGCCATGATTTGGGAACAGGACTGCTTTTATATGTGTTCCTTGAGATAGACTGGCTGAAACACTTCACAGAACATTGTGTGGAAAGCCCCAGGGACATAGATAGCCTAATTAGTGAGGTACGGAGAAATGGGATGAGGCAGTGCTTGGGCAGATGCACAGTTCAATTGGTAAAACTTTGACCAGCCACCACGTGAGCGTGCCATTGTTCTGCCTGCACCGTAAACCAATCACAAAGGTTTTTCCTGATGTCTAAAGAGGTACCGAACGGAGCGCGACATTTCGAAGCATGAGAAGATGCGGTGTCCGTTTGGTGCACTCCCAAGATCAACGGCCGGTACGGCTGGCACCGGCATGTGACATGCCTTAACTGGTGTAGTACAAAAACTAGCCCAGAGGACCACAACCTGCCGAGCCCTCTACCGCAGTGGGAAAGAACATCCTGAGTGGCGGGACCATCGTTGTGCTCTGTTAGGTGTTTGGAGCACTTGTAATGTTTTAAGCTAGACGTACTTTCACAAGCAGACCATACTTCAGCAAGTGTTGCGTAATGGCCTTGCTAAAGACTCTGTCGGATGCTTTCGCGAGTCGAAAGCTCTTGCAAGCTCTGGTTTGTTTCTTATGTGATTACTTACCAGGTTCTTGAAAACTTGTATATTTGGTGAGCTCTTTTTTTTTTTTCTAATTGTTTCCTCAAGGCTTCTTCTGCCTTGGTGGGCCACTTTTGTCCACTTTTGTCTTTAGGAAAAAGGTGCACTTGATATGGCTGTCAAGTCGAATGGATGAAGACCAATGTGCAGATGTGTGAATATGTTGCGTTCAGGGTAACGCTGTTTTTAGAGGGCGATTGCCGTAGTAATGTATGAAGACTGCCCGTCAGTGTTTTAAAAGGTGGCGAAAACCAACTTTTGTTTCTATTGTAAATTTATAGAGCTGTTTTTCAGGCAGCTTTTCGAAAAACTGGTCTCTGTGTGGCTGATTTCTGTACACTAGTGAAGTTGGTGTTGTCTGTATGTACTGATTAACGGAACTGCAGTGAGTGAAAAAATGCAAGTGACTTGTGCAAACTGCGTTAGTCTGTCGCCAGTGTGGTAGTATTGTTCCCGAAGTGTCCCACCAAGCCGTGTGTAGTTGTAGCGACAGGTCTCCTGTGTATTGGGTGATGGTTTAACGGAGTGGACTTTGATATGCCTCGATGAGCGGTGGGGTTATGATGCCAAATGAAAAAAGAAAAAAAAAAACTGCCAGCACGTACTGTGTTCATGTCACATTTGCGAGATTATCAGTAGTAATATGTAGTAGTAAGCAATTTGAATAGTTAGCTCTTTGAGCCTGTTACCACGTTTCTGCTTCTTCATCTGTGAACTTATTCTCCTCTTGTATCCGTGTTGTGAACTTGCATTGTGGTAACCACTTAAGTCCTGTCAGATTTGGAGCTGGTTTGCATGCACGATAGTGGAATTCCAAGAATGGAGCACCAGTGGTGGTGTGAAGAAGAGTTGCTGTGTTTTCAAGGTGTCATGGGCCACAATGTCCGAGACGTCGTCCACAGTTAAGTTGACCACATCATTCACACGTTTTCACTACAGAAGATTGCTATTCGTGGTTAATGTGTCACGATTTCATTTGGAATGTTATCAGTACTTGGAAGGCTTGGGTATGGGTACCTAAAATGTGTAGAAATTTATTGATGTGATAATTTAGATGCTCAGTTGCTGTTCCCATTTATCCCGGCTTTTTTGTCAATGTGGTAGCAAGAACTTTCCTCTGGGACCTCTACGTTGTTTGGTGAACACCGCTTGGTTGCGCAAGGTTCTGGGGAGCATCGTGTTGTTTGAGCTTGCATCATGATATTTCCACACTTTACACCCGTGGAAAATCGTTGTTTGCGGATATGGTTATGTTGTATGAGCTAAATAGCTTGGCAACCCTGATTAACGGCCATTGAAAGGAGACTGAGAACCAGTCAAGGAAATACATATTGCAAAGGCTTCAGGGTATAGTACTAGGACGAGAATTTCTGTGTGTTATCTTGCCGTTTCCTGCCGTGCAGTTTCCTGTAGCACCGTTTCTCTTCAAAAGTTGTGTAATTGCTTGAGTTTTTATTCTGAAATCGATGTGTTCTGCCTTGATAGCTTTTCGTGGCGTGCTTTAGTTCAAACAATTTTAGCACTTTTTGTTTTTAGTATACAAAAGCAAGGCTTCAGACAAGGCCAGTGTGAGAAGAGAGCAGCTTATCTGTGCTCAAACAGCCTTAATGTGTTGTTCTTACACAGAAATGTAAAATTTGCCTCGTAGGAGATTTCCAGTTCATTTGGTGGGGCCATTTTTGAAGTGATTTGTATAAACACAAATTAAGGTTGTAAAACTGTTTGAGTTGTTTGTATTATGGATTTATTGTGAAGCTTTAGCTCCGTTCCTTCAACTTTTGCAAGTGTTAGCTGTCTGTGGCACTTATAAACAGTTTTCAGTTTGCATGAAGAACATTCAAAATTTAGTCCTTAAACCTACATGAAACCTAGAACGTTGGTATTGACTTGGCTAGTCAATAAAAAGTATGCTTTCATTTATACTGTGCAAAAGCTACAGTTGCACGAATTTTGTGAAAGCACAAAATTCATGTGTTACTACCATCTATCAAGCGTACAGGTGTTGGTCGCTGGTCAGTGCGTTTGTGAGATAGTTTTGGTGCCATGTGCGAGTGTGCAACTTTTGTAAATCACTGCCACAGTAGTGCTTTTTCTTACATGACATCCCCACTTCACCCCTGTACCATATAGTTTTCATATTTCTACTATTACCACCATATAAAAGTGGCACTTATACCAGCAGGAATTTCAGCAGCTTTCATTAAAACTTTCTCACGCCAAAAGTGACGTTTAAGTTGGGTTTTGGTGATTGCTCCAGCCTTAAAGGCCTGGAATAATCGTGGCAGATCCACGGTCTAGCCAGAGCTGTCTAGAATGCATAGCACAGGGCTATGTCAGGCATCCGTCAGGATCCGTCCACCGCCCTCTCCCATAGCAACTGCTGTGGGCGTGCGCGTCCCTAGCAACCGGAGCCCCCACCATGCCGTGCTTTGGCGACGGCAGCTGGCAGCAACAGCTGCTAGCGCGCACGCTCATTGTCGCCCCTAACAATCGGAGCCCCCACCTCCTTGACTTGAACGTGACTTGCCACTGCCTCAAAGCAGTGCATTTGAAAGGCGTTTGTAGCATTCGTGCTGCCTTGGCACAGCCTGAAAACAGCGAGTTCTCAACGCATTTTTTTAACCAGGCACGCTAGCTACTAGAGCTGGAAACGCATGCCGTGTCTCTCACGACAGAAAAACGCCACGTGTGGTGAACGGCGCTATAAGCTGCACGATCTAAGAAAAAAAGAAAACATTATTCTTCTAACGCTGGGTTCTCAAGTGCTAAACGCCGTTATGGATGCTACGCAATGCATTTCCTCACGATTCCCTTTAGGGAGGTGGGGGCACTCTTTTTTCCTTTTCTACATAGACCTGTGGTCATATGCAAACGAGCATGGAACAGTTCATAAATAGTTCAAAGGACCAGACACCCATCTTGTCGTTCACTACGAATTCAGCTGGCCCCTGAGAAATGTCAGGCCGCATAGTTCTTAAAAGGATGGGTACCCTGTCTGTTACTGGCCCTCACACTCAATGTACCTATTCATAAATAAGAAAGCTGCTGTTTCTACGCAAGTGATGTGATTCATCTATGCCCGAGTGCTAGAAAAATTCACCGTCAGGCTCTGCAAAGAGGCATTCATTCCTGCTCACCGTTTATGCTGTTGTGGTCCCACTGTGTTTGCTTGCACCCCATTATTTATTCTGTTACATAAACATGCCCTCTTGTTTTTTTTTTTTATTTTAAGCTGCCTCTGTCAGTCTGATTACTTGTACTTGTTTACATCGCTGTATGGAATGCACATGATCACATAGATGTTTTTGTACCATTTCACACCTCGAAGATCGAGGTGTTCTGTTAAAGCAGGCGCGAAATCTCACTGCTCGGCACTGCTGTTCAATAAAACATTCGTCTTAAGCAATTGTCACATCAGGAGTTGTGGAAGTGTGAAATCTACTTGCCGGCTCACCAGGTGACACTTCACCATGGTCAGTTCACATTTAGAAGACTAGCAGGTCTGTGAGAACAAGTGCAACACTTCATTAGAACAGCAAGGTACTAAAATATGGGAATTGTTCTTTAGAATGTGCCATGTAATAGGCTTACTTATTGTTGCGGCTGAGCACTGTAGTGTCTGCACAGCAGCTGTATAGCGTTCTGCAGGAAATAACTTGCATGTACTGAAAGACTTGATTTTATAGTCGTACAGCATGCCAAAATAAATTTTGCTGGCGAATGTAGGCCTCTTTATCTCACTGGAAAGCTGCTGAGATAATTTGTCGGCATTGCTGCAGCTCTCTGGGTGATATTTATGCAGGTAGACAAGATTAAAATACATGCCTGACTGCACTGGCAGCAGAAAATTATTATAACTAAGAATATGCAATGCATGGGTGCAACCACACAAGTTGGCATTAACGCAGTAGTGAGCATGGTTTGGGTGAACTTACTGAAGAGTTATACGAAATTATGTGAAATGCAAGTGTACGGACAATCGTTCTGTGAGTACGGACAACCGTTCTGAGTCCTACTGAGAAGCATAAGGGTTTACAGGGAAAAGACTTTTGGGGGAAGTGAAGTTTGTATAATGCAATCTCCGGCCTACTTTTATACTGGAAATCAGTTGGTTCCGGTTACAAGCAAAGTGGCTACCAACTGTTACCATGACGAGTTGAAATGGAAGCAAGTGGTCCCAGCAAATGGAAGCAAGTGGTCCCAGCAGCGAGTTATATACTACAGGGGCATATGCCGAAAATGCAGCTCTGTTTCTGTTAGAACGCCGAGAAAGATCAAAGCTGTGACCCGGCTGCGCGTGGGATTTGTTACTGTTAATATAATTTCTAGTTGCATAGGTGCAGAGGAATTGTGTAATCGGTGGGTCTCCGCAGCAACGAGACTTATTCAAACCAAAAGCCGATCGCGCGAATTTCAAAAGTGGCGCGGTAAATGCCTATAGTCGAGTTGTCCTAGCTCTTCCCAAACAAAGGGGGTTAACCGTATAGATAGATGACCCGCACATTACGTTTCAAAAAGGAGCGTAACTAGCGCCGTAGCACTCCTTCGTCTGCGCAAAGGTTTTTTCCTGGCGGCGGGTGACAGAACCGTTCGCTTTCCTTCTTTCCGTGACGCATCGCGACGCGTGTCTCTCTCACTTTTTCTTCGAACCCCCCTTGCCAACGAGAAGTGGGTGCGCTTGGGGCGGTCCCTGCTCGCTCGCCAGCGGCGGCCGCGTAGGGCCGAAGTGTGCGATCTCTCCTCGGGTTGTTGTGTGCGTGTGGTTATCGCGGGCGGGAGGACTATGTGAAGAATCAACCGGATAACCAATTTCCTGCTGCGCGCTCGCGGAATCTCTGCGTGTTCCTCGGCGCGTGCAGCCACAACACCGACGAGACCGACGACGCGTCCGGGGAGAAGAGCAACTCCGCGGCTATGATCTTCGACGGCTAGCTAACGTACGTCGTCTTCGCGGCGAAAAAGGAAAAAAAAAAACAGGAAAAAAAGGGAAGAAACCCCCATCCCTGCGCCTCTCGCGTCACAGCCATCGATTCAACGAGCGGTGAGTCCCTCTGCTCCAGAACAGCGTCGCACGTCCCCGCGCGCCTCCCTGTTCTTCAACTCCCTTTGCCTTCTATCTGTTTTTTTTTTTTTTTTCTCGCTCGGACATGCCCCCAAAATGTCCGCGTATAGCCTTCCATTTTGACGTGCGCTCGGATTAAAACGCTCGCGCTCCGGCGCATCTAGCGCGCGATGTTGCATTCCGCCTTCCTAGTAGCGAAAGAGCCACCAGCCCTCCGGCCTTGGCGATTATAAACACAGCGGTGGCGGCTAGCCGCTCAAACTGCCCTCAGCTGGGGAGGCAAGAAGTGAGGGCGAAGAATAAAAAAAAAAATAGAGTGCATGGTTCGTGTCGTGCTAGCGCCAATGGAGTTTGGAAGCAGCGCGGGTCGATACATAGTGGTCTTCGGAGCGCGCTCCGCCCGAAACACACGGCTACCGTAGTGTTAGAGCCGTAGAAACTTTTTTTTTTCCGTCCGCCAGCTCGCAACATACCCGCATCGTACTCACGTTCGGTCCTGTTTTCCGAAAAAAGCTTTCCGCGCTGTATCGCCTCCCACGCGTTTTCGGCAGCGATGTGTCTGCCGCTCGCGTTGTTCCAGTTCATGTCGTTGCACTCAAACGGGGCATCGGCTTCGCCCAACTTAAATCTCTTTTCTTGTGCGTCTCTCTTTTCCTTTGTCCCATCTAGCGGATCATCTCGACCGGGTAATCCTGCTGTCGCGTTCTCGTCTATGCATTCTTTCCCGTGCATCACTTCTTCTCTGCCCGCGTCGCTTGTTACCGATTTCCCCTGTATTGATTGCTCGGGGTCGGGCGCTGTTTTCGGTTCTCACAATGGAGAACGCGCCGTGTTAAGGTGTGGTGCCGCAACTGTGTCGAGGCGGTTTCCTGTTGCGAATCCGCCACGCTGCGTGGTTAATCTGATAACTATACACCAGCCAAACTACACCCTTTTTATGCTCGTTGTGAAGTCGGTATCACTTTCGTGTGATCTCCCGTAATTGCAGTTCGAGCATGCAGCGCTGCGACGTATAAATATACAATTACACGTTATTACGACACAGTGTCGAGCGCGCCTAGTTATTTTCCTCAATTATAAGGTAGGCCACGGGCAACTAAATGCGCCCGCCTTCTAATGGGTGCACGGCGCAACTCTATCCTCATCAATTAAGAAACTATGTCCAGCGCGCTTGCGTAATGATGTGCATGCACATTTAATCCACGCACCAAGGCCGTGTCGCGATGTGTCCTTCAATCGAGACTGCCCTAGATAACGCCGGCAGGTACGACATGTATTACGGACTCTGCACAGAATCGTCAAAAACCGGTGCCCGATTATCTCGACAACAGAGCTGTGCCGATCGACTTTCGTACCCTCCAATTTTATTTACCTCTTCAGTACAACGTCTGGGCGCTCTTTCCATTTTTGCTTCATCATAGCTCATTAACTTCGAGCTCGCTCGGCATGCCTAGCTGCTGTGCCAAGTTTCATCCTTTTCCAATCAACTCGCAGCTGCCTTACGTACTACAGCCGTGTTCTCTGCTACAACTACATCATTCAGTCCCGTCTAGCATGAAAGAATCTGCGTTCAGGCGCTCGAAGGTCGTCACGTCACTTGTCGCAAACGCGTCGTCTTCCTCCTTTTTTTTTCTTTTTTTGTTCGTTTGTTCCACACGCGAAGGTTTCTGCTCTTCAAGGACCCGACGGCGGGGTACTAAAGAAGTGAAAAAGGGCTGTCGTAGCTCCTTATCTCAAGCACCTAGCCTCTCGACAGCATCTTGCATGCGCGTGCGTCGACGCCTAATCGCGAAAGTAAAAATCGGGCGCGATAAGATGCATGTACTATGTCGCGCGCGTTTTCTCCTTTCCTTCTCGATCACGTGTCTCCCCCCCCCCCCCCCCGAGGGCTCATCGTAAGTGTTACATGATATTACAATTAACAGCAAGTTGCATTTCCGGCGCTTAGAATGAATATTTTCTTTTCCAAGAAATTGAAAGGAAAAGGAAATTGCCCTTGCGCAAATACATGTACATGGTTGTGGTATTAACGGCACTATAGAGTTTTCAGAGTTTATAGTCTTGTCAGTCTAAAATAAGTATTATTTCAGTGACCTCTTTAACGCCGATTTGGAAAAAAAAAGTAACTCGAGAAATGCTGAGCCAAAGGAAAAATGCAGGATCCAAGCGCAGTGCCAAATCGCTGTTTATGATTCGGAGCTGTTTGTCATCGATGTATACTTACCATACCGTTGCGAATAATGTTGCCTGTGATGTAAGGCGGGTCAGAATTGTGCGCCAATACAACTGTAGACGCTGAAAACAAGAGTAGCGTTTAATGCGTACGTAGCCCTAAATTTTTCACGTTTCAATCTCCGAGTACTGTGCGTTAAACACGCCTTTCAAATCGGTCTCTCGATCCGTGTGGAACGTTCTGATAGGACATTTGTACCACTTAGTCCCGCTCTTAGTTTAAACCAATTGCGGGGGGGAAATTACTCGAGCCACGAATTAAACTCGACCGGCTGCGTCACTCTTATCAATTCCGTGCAGGCGCGCGCGAGTCCTTCCCTTTTTTTTTTATTTGCTTTTTACCGCGATTCGCCCGGGCAGGTACCCTTTTCCTCCTCCACGAATGGCGCGCTTCGCACCGGCGGAAATTCTTGTCACGTGTTTCATGCATGTTGCACGCGGTGACTGCGGCGGGAGGCGCGTCCGGAGAAAGTGACGCACTCATCGCCGTATTTAGTCGTCAAACGCGTTTATAAATGGGCTCGAGGCGGGAGTGCCGCGGAGGGACCGCGAGAATGAAACATTTAAAAAAAAAAAAAGAAGCACGTGAAAGGTGGGCTGGTCGACAGCACGCGAGGTGGTGTTAAAGGGCCACTTTAGTGAAGTAATGGATTAGTTTAGACTGATAAAAGTATACTCTGAAAACTGTAGCGTTGTTGATCCCGCAGCCATAGGTTTGATGTGGGGTTTAACGTCCCAAAACCACCATATGATTATGAGAGACGCCGTAGTGGAGGGCTCCGGAAATTTCGACCACCTGGGGTTCTTTAACGTGCCACCCAAATCTGAGCACACGGGCCTGCAGCCATAGGTTTATGCGTTGAGAAAAAAAAAAAAAAAAGCAGCGTCGATATTTAACTTTTAAATTTCCCGCCGAATCTCGGATAGTAACATCACGAATTTTAACGTACCTTTCTGTATTTTGGCCCTGTGGTTGGAATAAATTTCCCCGAAACTTGGTACGCGAGGTCCCTGGCCCCCCTCAGAGGACGGTGTACTTTCGTTTTACTGGTTAGGGACGACGTAGGACCTAGTAGGTGTTGTCGAAATCTGTGACGTCACAGTGACTGACCCAGCAACTTCAAGGTGGCGTTGCAATCTGCAGTTTCCACCTGCTTATTTTCACACTTATCAAGTGCCTTCTTGCAAAAGAACGCATTGTTTTTTTGTATCGTGAATGGGTAATGTTTAAGAGAAAAGTATTTTTTTCTGTTATTGAATGTCCCTTATTTAGCTGAAAGCACATGAGCATGCGAATGAAAAAATATGAACCACCACTCGAGAGGGGATGAACCTTGCTTTTACACCTCTTTTTGGCATGCAAAGTGTTTACTGAAAAGAATTTGTATCATATAAGTATCGAGATACATATATTATATGGACACCTGCTCATGCCATCGCGGGGGACAGCAACAATGGGGCTGTACATGACGCAGCTCGAGGGCTCACCGACCGAGCTGCCCTCTCAAGTGCCGCCCCAACCTCCTCCGGTGATTACGGCGTGGCAGACGAGTGGGAGTGGGAAGACAGAATGACCAGATACAATGAAATTACAAAGCATTATAGATTACAGAGGGGCATATTCCCGCCACCTCACCCAAAATTAACAAAAAAACAGTCTGTCGAATGGCGGCAGTTACAAACTAGGACATATCCGAATCCTGCACTATCGCACATTATATATCCTGATATATACAAAACGGACAGGTGCAAGCGTTGCGACTCCAGAGCCACTCTGGAGCATATGTTATGGGAATGTAGAGGGATTAGTACTCATAACAAGTATGCGGCCTCTGCTGACAGCCTTCGCGCGCGCTGGGAGGCCGCAATGCTCAGTTCCGTCCTCGAAGACCAAATGTGGGCCGTCCAGCGGGCCGAGGAAGCCGCCAGGATTCAAGGACTCCTGGCCGTAACCTAGGCGGGGCCAATCGCCCACCCCATCTACTCGCCGGACTCTGAATAAAGTTCTTTCCTCCTCCTCCTCCATATAAGTATCGTTAATACATATATTATCATAATCCAACAGCTTAAGAATTTAATGGGACACATTGGAGTGTTTTGGCCATGTTATGATATCTTTGTACGAATTAAACTGTGAACCTTATGGGTTCAAGGGGAGTACTGAACAATATGCTGCAAAAGGCAGGGTCAAAGACTGAAGTTTGAATTTTTTACAGCAAAAGCTGTTGTATATATGTGTAGCATATTGGCACGAGTGCCAATATGCTACATGTGTAGTGTTATGCCAAGTGACGATGACCTCATACAACAGTCCCGCCCCCTAAAGTGCTCCTAATATAAATAAAAATATATGGCCGTGATTTTCTGGTATGATGAGGTAATATTGTTGCTTAGAGAGGGAATGGAGATGGTCAGCGCTCTAATCAAGACAAAGGGGTGAAAACGAATTGGGGAGGCCATTTAATTTTCAGAGCAAATAGCAATTTGCAAAGCAAAATCTGTGCTCCGTTAGAGAAACAAAACAGATGCCAACGAAAGATAAAAGCAGGAACTGGTGTGTTGTTATCGCACAATTTTCAGGCAGAGGGAGGTTATACAAGGCAGGGTTACTTAGATGGGTCATCTTAAGAGGCCTTAATGCTGCATTGGACGTAAATTGAGATGATAATGCTAGCTCGTAGCTCCGTCATATGTGATACAGCTGGTGCTGGGCAAATTCTGCTAGCTTCCTAAAATTTTTTTCTGAATGAAAAAGAAAAGAATTGCAAGTTCTTTAATGAATGACTGTGTTGATAGGAATGGAACTCAAAAGGAAAACTTGGGACCAGTTACGTGAAAAAAGAAGTTTAAACAAAAAGCTATTAGTTTTGTGGTGCATTGAAATTTTAAGCCTTTCCAAACTGCTTTTCAGAAGTGGGGGAGGGTTCTTTTAGACTGATGTTTATTTATTGCTTCCCGGTTTTTGTGTTTGCAGACAGTGACAGGTGACAGTTCTAACTTCTAGATAGAATTATTTTAGAAATGGCCAAGGAAGCGGTGTGAGTTGTTTAATCAATGGCTGTGTCCATCGCAGGGAAACTCGAAACGTGAACATCAAGGTGAAAAAAAGTTCTTATAACTAGGGTTATAAATTTCATTGCAAAGATTAAACTTTGAGCCTTTCTAAACAGCTTTTCAAAAAGCTTAGCAGGTTTGTTTCACGCTGATGTTTTTTTTTTTTTTTTTCGGTTCTCATGCTTGCAGACAGTGACACCTAGCCCCCATGATGGCATTGCACGAGGACTACCAGGTGTCGATGGTGGCCGACTGGTTCCACGCCGTGCCGCACGTCGATATCGGTTTTTCCCCCGTCAATTCCACGTTCGACCCCACCAGCAATGTTTACCTCGAGGTGCGTAATCACCCTCCCTCAGTATGGAGTCACCCCGCATGCTTGAACCTCGTTACCTTTTAGGAAATTCTGCATTCTTACCTAAACATTGTAAAATGCAGGACCTCAGGAAAATCTGCACATTCTCACCTCTTGGAACATGACCTTGTGTTCGGATTTCTAGCATATTTGCAATGAACAGTCTTGTGTGGTTTTGCTGTAGGTATGGTTGCAAACTGCAGTAATGACAGATTCAGTGGTCTGTTAAAATTTTGATGCTGATGGCACATCTGTACATACAGTACAGGCAGATAAAGACACTTGAGGGTGAGTTTGAGCGCAATGCATAGAATATAACTTTGATTCTGTTTATGTCCATTCATACTGTATGTACTTGCAGTGTCCCAGGAACTTTTGCGCTGTTATAGCTTGCTACGTATCGATTAGTAATTGCAAACGTAAGACAGCAGTACAGTTACGAAGTATAATACTGATGTAAATCTTAATGCAAAATTTTTTTAAAGAGACCTCGCGTTAGCATAGTAAAAGCTCATTCATTGTCATTTAATTTGAGCTTATAGTTAACTTGAACCGACGCCTTGGTCCCGGTACCACCCTTTGTATTTCTATGGGGGATAACTCCCAGTAATTCGAACACACCGGTATCCACAACGGTTACATTGAACTGGGAGCCCCTGGTTTTTATCGCTCCTCGCAGAAATCTGCCCAGAGTGATGATAATGTGTCGCAGAACCAAATCAAGCCAACTTTACTAGAGCTGCGAAACAATGAAACAACGACATTTTTCAGGATATGAAAATTTGGACGCTGCACTGGAGCTCTTGGGCAAACTGTGAACAATGCTCATGAAGTCACAACAGAAGAAATGCAAGCGAATGGAAATTACTGCTTACTTTTAATGTTATTTGCGTTCGCTCTGCCATGTAAACAAATGGGTATTAGAGCATAAATAGCATGATATATTTCATATTAAAGCACACCTGCACGCATGAATGCATGTCGGTGCTGTTTCTGGCTTATCACTGACTAATCAATCAATTCATTTGCTGTTAGAGCTCCATGAAGTTAATTTATAAAATTGCTTCTTGCAAATGTATAGGAGCGCTTAATTCATGATAACAGAGTCCAGAGGTGGCTTCTTTGGGTTTTTCTGTGCAGTGTGGTGGGATGTTCGTTTATTATGATGGCTGCTTTCTAACTCCTTTTCTCAATTCCAACAATTTTACAGCCCCCTCCTAGTTCAAATCAACGAGCTTTTACTGTACATGCATAAAAATGTAGAAGAAATGATGAGCAACTATGCACCAGTGAGGGTACAGAATGTAGCATTTACAATTAGGCAGCATATTTTCACGGGACATGATGTGGATGCAGGGAGCAGGCTGGATGTTCAGATGAAACTGTTTATTTGGCCAGACTTGTGACCGGTAAACAGACAGTCAGGTTACAGCAAGACACTGGCACTGAAAGCGGCGAACAGAGCGTCGGCCGTCGATTAAGTAACAAGTGATGACGTGCGTCGGCATTTATACATGTCCCGTCAAATATTCCAGCACTATCACTATCTGCCACGCAAGTTTCAGGAGAATCTGTAACGTTTCCATAGTGTGCGTAATTGCATCATTAGGTTCTACGGTTATCTTGATGGTTCTTTAGTCAATCAGCGTAGCCCCGCCGCGGTGGTCTAGTGGCTAAGGTCTAGTGACTCGGCTGCTGACCCGCAGGGCGCGGGTTCGAATCCCGGCTGCGGCGGCTGCATTTCCGATGGAGGCGGAAATGTTGTAGGCCCGTGTGCTCAGATTTGGGTGCACGTTAAAGAACCCCAGGTGGTCTAAATTTCCGGAGCCCTCCACTACGGCGTCTCTCATAATCATATAGTGGTTTTGGGACGTTAAACCCTACATATCAATCAGTCAATCAGCGTAGTTGCACAGCTTAGCACTTTACACGTCCACTAATGGAGCGATAACTAAACTTGAAAAAGGATAAAAGACAATGTCTTACTGGCTCTGTGTTGCTGTGTGATAATTGTGCATCTGGATGCATAAATATTGCGATAAACATGCCAAAGTGGCGTCACAAATATTTTAAGTGACACACAAGGGCACAAAACACTGTCCATCTAATGCCCAAAAGGACAGTTGTGCATATTTACATGAATATCGAGCACTAAGCTGACCACTGATTCTTCCTCTGGTGTGCTTTCATATCTCCCACTTTATGTTTGTAATGTGAAATCTAATCTAAAATCGTTTGAAGTGACAGTGGATGCTCAAAACAAGTTAGTTTTGACAATGAAGAAAGTCGAGGCTAAGAGGGATAAGCACGGCAGGTTTTTCGGGTCATTACTGTTTAACCGTGAGTAGTGTCCACATATTTTCTAGCACAAAGCTATAGAGCAGATTCATCCATATTTATGTTTCCCTTCTGAAAAGACCATTTGTAGACTATAGCCTAAACCAGTCCTATAAGTGACAACAGCTGCAGAAAACAACCACTATGAGACAAGCATTGGGCCGTCGCAAGTTTCAACAAGGTATAAGCAACAATCTGCTTTTTGAAATAAACCAGCTTCCCCATGTTGGGTTGTTGCCACAATTATTTGTTGCTTTGGGCTACAAAGTGAACGACCACTTTTCCCCCCATCAGTGTGACATTTATTGTCGTAATTGGTGTCTTGTTTGTAGGGCTTCTTACTTATTGTCTTACTACTGTTATCGGTGTAGTTGAGTGGCCTCATTAGTGCCGTGCGATGTTAACGTATGAATTCCTCTGTCTCCGTGCTTCGCAGAGCCTCGGCATCCTAATCGCAGTGCCGGGCTTTTGGCTGATCCTCACCCTCCTGGCGTTCCTCATATTCTTCCTCTGCCGATGCTGCGACTCGGGTCTCAAGAAAAAACGGCGCCTCACACCGCTCAAGTGGACGCTGGCACTTTTTGCACTGCTGTGCTGGTGAGTTTCAAAACTTCATGTTTTCTTCCATTGTTATTGTTTTGCCACGATGACGAAATAATTGTTCTGACAAACATGTACAGTGGAATCTTGTTGATATGGTTCTGCATGATACGTCTTTTGTCTAATTGTTAGAGGTGGTGTCGCTACGAGCAAGGGCAGGAAAGGTGCACTTGAGTTTTTCATTCACGATATAGGCAGCCTCAAACGTAAAACTGTGATAAAGCAAATTAAGAAATAAAATGTAACGTAAGGTGATATAAGAACATCTTATTTTAAAGTAAACAGTAAAAGTAACAGAAATAAAAAGTTCAGAATTATGCTTAGGCACTGGAAGTGTCACTTCAGCTACTGGCACATTAAAACGTAACTACTGCGAAAGACCAAATGCAAAATAAAGACCAAACCTGCAAAAATATTATTTGAAGAAACATTTTTTTAAAGTAAAACAATAAAAATTACTTTACCAGAATTATGCTTAGGCACTCTTAAGTACCGCTTCAATCTTCTGGAAAAGCACTTCTCCTTTGCTGCTTTTGAGAGCCTCTTAAAGACCCGAGTGATCAAAATGAATCTGGAGATTGTTAATTCAAATCATTAATTCTGTAGCTCTCGTTTATTTAAGAGCGAAATCAATTATCAAGCACTGTTGAACGTGCGTCAGGGTTTATCACGTCAAGTGCTGCTTAAGGCTTTGTGTGTAAGTTTTTTATCGACATCTCCTATTGTTGAGCAGAAAACGGGAATGCTCTCTGCCCTGCCCATGCTCGCGTTTTTTTTTCATTTCCAATAAGATATTCTTAACATTGGTTTGTTCTTTTACAAACTCTGCTCTCTTCTTGTCTCTGAAGGTTACACCTGTCATTTTCCTTTCCTTTGCTTGCTGCGTTGTCTTCATTATAAGCGGGCGGGTGTAATGTTGGTGAAGCAAGCGCAGGACCATGTCGATTGGTGAAGCATGGGAGAGGCCTTTGTGCGGCAGTGGAATCAGTTTGGCTGCTGATGGTAATACTGAAACAACAATGCTGAAATTCGCTTGCCCTTGAGAATTCTCATTCACGTTGAACAAGTAGTGCAAAAGACAAGGGACACAAAAAAAAAACAGCCCCGTCGCGGTGGTCTAGTGGCTAAGCTACTCGGCTGCTGACCCGCAGATCGCGGGATCGAATCCCGGCTGCGGCGGCTGCATTTTTGATGGAGGTGAAAATGCTGTAGGCTTGTGTGCTCAGATTTGGGTGCACGTTAAAGAACCCCAGGTGGTCGAAATTTCCGGAGCCCTCCACTACGGCGTCTCTCATAATCATATGGTGGTTTTGTGACGATAAACCGCTCATATCAATCAATTAATCACAATAAAAAACAGGAGGACGGGGCGAGCACTGTTCTTCCTTGTGTCCCAATCTGTCGCACTGCTTGTTCAATACTAATTCCTGTAAACTTGCCCAAATTCTCGTAATATTCTCATTGACAAATTGGCAACGTACGCATTTTGACAAGCCTCGCTTTTTTGCCATTTCAGCGGTGCGCTGGCTCTGGGGCTGTTTGGAAACGATCAGGCCCACAGCGGTGTGGTGGCCGTTCAGAAATCGACTCAGTACATGGAAGACAACCTCAGCAATTTCGGCAACCAGGTGAGTGTTTGTGGAAGACTTGCGGCAGTCTTTCGATTTCCTCTCTCTTCAACTTTGAGATGAATCGCCATGCATGCCTCCGAATGTGAAGAAAATCTAGACGTGTCATTGTGTTCGTAACTGCCTGAAGTTGTGCTGTAAAGCTTGGTTGTCGTAGCTGGGCAGTAATAGCTCAAGTCTGTTGTATGATTCTTAGTCCGTCACTACCATTATATTGATATTTTCATTCTTTTCCCTCATTAGGACTACATATTGTGCATTATTTAGAATGCATTTGCTAAAACTGTAAAAATAGTGCAGCTCCCTTTCGAATCTCCAAATTCCAAAGTATGCGAGTAAATATGCTAGTTAGAGCCAACATAAGGTTAAGGAGCGAAAGTTGCAGCAACATGTCAAATGGAGCTGTAGTGTGTCATTATGTTAACATTTTCATGTTGCATTCGAACTTGTGAGCACTTTACTAAGGTTGGCATATTCATTAAAACAATGCTGGAAGGCACGATGAATCTGCTCAGCTCATCGTTCAGCAGCACAGGAACCTCAACTCCGGTGATGATTAGATCTTTTGTGCGCAGCCGAGGAAGCAGCAGCCAAGCGTCTGCGATCGGCAGATCTGGACTACGTGTAAAGCTTGCCAGTTGCAATGAGTTGAAATCGTTGTCCCTCAGCCATGGTGAAAAAAACTGGTGGTTGCAATGGCTCTGAGGAGACAAGTAGCACGCATCTGTGGCGCTTGCTATGGCAACAGTGCAGCAGGGATATTTTTTTTTTGTTAGCAGACGTCTTATTACCAGCTTTAACAGTTCCGTTGTTAAAAGTGATCCACACTCTCAAGTCTGGTGCCCGGTAATCGGCAATTCTTATGGAAGAGTGAACGGCCGCCGTGACTTTGTCACAGACGCAATACCTGGAGCGAGCCTTGGGCCAGAATGCCAAGGACCAGCTGCAGGGACTGACCGAGGCTCTGGCTGGCCCCATGCCGGATGCCGCTGCCCGAAACGTGCTCGACCGCTCGCTGGAGCTCATCAAAGGAAACCTGAGCGTGGGTGCCGGGCGCGCCCAGGAGCTGCACTCTCGCATTGGCCACCTGACTCTCAGCCCACTTCCCAGAGCTCTTGAGTTGATTGAGCTCTTTCGGTGAGTCTCTGCCATTAGTTGTCATCCAGTCCCTTCGTTCGGTTGACATTATTGCAGCCACAAGTTTGATTTGGATGTGTGTTCCATGGAGTCCTATGTTGAGATTAGGAGCCTGATGTTGTATGGTCCTGAATTGTGGGCTTCGCTTGCCGTTGTGTTTGTTGACACATGTATACATATGTTTGTTTGGGTGTTCACATATGGGTGTTTGGGTATACATATGGGTGTTTGTTTGCTGCGATCGAGCCGATGTTGCAGAAGGGGTCATTTCAAATGTTGATTATATTCCGTCGCACAGTGTGACAGAGCAAATAGAGTGGTAATGAAAAGTATTATTTGGAACCACTTGCTCTCAGCTGTTCTGGACGTTGCAAACTTATTTAAAAAGGCTGATTATCTTAACCATCAAACATGTTTCACCTTGTTTTAGCCACCTACTAAATACAAGAAGAAAGGTCTGCTTGATAATAAAAAATATTTTGGCACAAATGTTCGATCATGCTGAATCAAGTGAAGAATAGTCTTGTCTTTAAAATGATGACACGAGCATATGTTTTAATGATTTCCTGAATACAATAAGGTTACTTCTATATCGGATTCGACTTTATTAAAACAAGGTCTGACTACCATGTATCTGTTTATGCAGTAGTTTCTTGTCCTACATTACAAATAGCGAAACCGGGTTGCCAGGCCAGTTTGTCTTGATTAATCTTGAGTATGCTTTTACAGTGCAAATTCAACATGGACAACGAAGAAGCGCGTACAAATAGTGCTGTTTTACATTTACTCACTAGCATACTGCCCACAAATGTTTCACTTAGCTGAGGCACATGGGAGTGTCAAATTTGTAGTCTGCTATGACGATTTGACTGTGTTTTTTGTGCACGCGGGTTTAATAACACTCTTTCTTTTTTATTCTGGCATGTGTACACAGTTGGATGCCACTATGATGAGGCAGAAGGAAATGGATGTAACTGTTTCCTGACTAGGCCTACATTCACCTTAGGGCATAACGTTCCCAACGGCGATATGAACGAGCTGCAGATCTGCTAGCTTTTCGTGAGAGGAACCTCCATAGCATCGAACGAGATCCACGTGGAAATATCGGCTCCACTAAAACCCTCTCAATGCGCCCTCTTCATGTTTGGTATCGGTAAATCTGACTTTGGTGATCGAGTTTAGCTTGCGATAATCCACGCAAGGCGTGGATCTTTTCCCGGCACCTCAACTAAGATTAAGGGCGAAGTGTAATCGCTCTCACAAGGCTCGATCACGCCTAATCAAACATCTTCTTCACCTCGCAATCCATAATCTCTCGTTGGCGCGGTGACACTCGGTAAGCTTTGCTACGCACGGGTTCTGAGGATGTCAGCTCGATGTCATGAGTAACAACTGAGGTTCTTCCAGGCCTATCTACAAATAAGTCCTGAAATTCTTTCAGAAGATCCTGGAGCTCGATCTTTTGCTCCGGCTCTAACTGCGCTTTCGATATTAATTCTTTGATTAGTGGTTCACCATCCTCACCGTTTATGACTGATGCAAGCCCTGGAAGTTCAACTGGAATCTCCTCGGGGATGTTCACCATCATGCATACCACTGCTTCCCGTTCTCGGTATGGCTTGAGCAGATTGCAATGATACACTTACGGTATGTTTCGCTTTCCAGGCAGGCGTATCACGTAGTTTGTGTCAGAAAGCTTTTCAACTACGTTGGCGGGACCTTCCCACTGCACTTCTAACTTGTTTTTCTGCGACGGTCGCAGTATCATTACTTTGTCCCCGACATCGAATCGACGGGTTTTGGCTGTGCGGTCATAGTACACCTTTGACCTATGTTGCGCTTTAGCCATGGCTTGCTCTGATAGCCGTTGAGCGCTTCTTAAACGCTCCAGTAGCTTCAAAACGTACTCGACCACTACTGGGTCTTCGGCTCGGCCTTCCCACGATTCTCGAAGCAAGCGAAGAGGAGATCGCAACGAGCGGCCGTACACGAGCTCGGCTGGCGAAAACCCCGTTGCTTCGTGCGGGGCAGTCCTTAACGCGAACATGGTAGCCGGCAAACATAGCTCCCAGTCCGTCTTCCTTTCGTAGCATAACGCCCTCAACACTCGCTTCAGAACGGAGTGGAGCTTCTCCACGGAGTTAGACTGAGGGTGGTAGACTGAACTATGAATTAGTTTTACTCCGCACCTTTCCAAAAACGTAGTGGTAAGAGCACTAGTAAACACAGAGCCTTGATCCGACTGTATTTCGGCGGGAAAGCCAACTCGTGCGAATATGGAAAGGAGCGCGTTAACTGTTTCCACAGAGCTAAGTTCTTTAAGTGGAACCGTTTCGGGGAACTTAGTCGCTGGGCATATCGCGGTCAGCACGTGGCGGTACCCCGACGATGTCGCCGGCAGTGGGCCTACAGTGTCCACTACGAGCCGCCGAAACGGCTCTGTGATGATAGGCACCAGCTTCATCGGCGCCCTTGACTTGTCACCCGGCTTACCTACACGCTGACACGTGTCGCATGTCCTTACAAATCGCTCTGCGTCGCGGAAACAGCCTGGCCAATAATACTCCTGCAAAAACCGTCCCTTCGTTTCCTTGACGCCTAAATGACCTGCCCAAGAACTTCCATGCGACAAGCGCAGTAAATCCTCTCGATAAGCTTGAGGCACGACCAGCTGATCAAACATTACACCCCTTTTGTCAACATACTTCCTGTACAGTATGCCATCCTTCTCATAATAACTTATGTTTTTCGGGGCTATCTTTTCATTTACCCTGCTCTGGATGTTTCGCAAGCTCGGGTCTTTATCTTGTTGATTCCTCAAGGCCATGCTGTCTACCATTAACAGTCGCTGTAAGCTTTCCGACGTAGGCGCTACAAGTAAATCTCTGGAATGCTCTTCCAATATTTCTGATGGTGCCCGTGCCGTAGCTTCATCCTCCACGGATGGGACCCCCTGCTGTTGTAACGCTGGCGCAAGTTCGACCTCTGCTGGGGAGTCCTGCGTCAGGCCGATTTCAGCTAAAGGGGACTCGGCAACTGCCTTCGCAGCGAGTTCCCGTGCTTTCGAACGCGTTAGCGCCATCACATTTGCCTCCCCAAACAGCTGCCCTCTCTTGCGCAGCATCTTGTCAGATCTATTCGAAAACAGGTAAGGGTATTGCGGAGGGAGTGCCGGCGACACGGCAGCTTCCGTCTCGAGCGTGCCGAAAGGACCTTTGATAGTTACCTTTGCGACGGGAAGGCATGCACTACACGACTCTACAGCCTGCTTGATCCAAGCACACTCACCCGTGAACATTTGCGGTTCAACGTACGAGCTGTGAACTTTGTCCATCGTAGCCGCAGAATCGCGCAGTACGCGGCATGGCTTCCCGTTCACTTCAAGGTCGCGCATGTAAGGTTCGAGAAGCTCGATATTCTCGTCCCTACCACTGATGGATAGAAACACAACTTTTGGTTTCTTACAGTGCGCTGCAATGTGACCGGGTTTATGGCAGTTATAGCAAAGGAACGGTTTCCTCGCTTCTAGCTTCCTTTGCTGTTCTAACGCAGGTTCGGTGTTCCGTTCCGACTCCGACGTATTTACGGTTCGGGCATTCCCAATTTCAGGCTCTTTCTTCGTTTTCACAGGCCCTCTCTTTGGCTTGAACCTAAAATCGGGACCCCCTTTTCGACCACTGTCACTGCCTTCGCGAGCCCGACGTGTGACGAATTCCTCTGCTAGCTCTGCGGCTCTGGCTACAGAGCTAACATCTGGCCTATCTTGCACCCAATGCCTAATGTTCTCTGGTAACCGGTTGTAGAATTGCTCTAGTAAAAAACACTCAATAACCTTTGCGTGGTCACCGTAGGCCTTCTCCTCCTTTAGCCATTCCACCATGTTTGACTTCAGTTTATAGGCAAATTCAGTGTATGACTCACTCCTTCCTTTCTCCAATTCACGGAATTTCCGCCGGAATGCCTCCGCGGACAGCCTGTACTTCCTAAGCAAACTGGATTTTACTTTATCGTAATCGTCGACTTCCTCAGTGGATAAACGAGCGATTACTTCTGCTGCCTCGCCAGGTAAGAGTGTGAGCAAGCGCTGTGGCCACGACTCACGGGAGAACCCCTGCTTCTCACACGTCCACTCAAAGTTCACCAAGAACAACCCAATGTCCTCTCCGAGTTTATAAGGGCGAATTAGTTCTGTCATTTTGAGCGATATGTGCACCCCTGCACTGTTTGCCTCGCTTCTCTGCCCTGCCGTTCGCACGCGCTCTATTTCAACCTCGAGTCGCTTTAACTCGAGCGCGTGATCGCGTTCCTCGCGCTCTCTCGAACGTTGAAACTCGAGTCGTTTTAATTCGAGCTCCCTTTCCTCACGCTCTTTCTCTTGCTGTTCTCTACGCTCCTCTGCCTGTCTTTTTGCGGCTTCCCTTTCTCGAATTATCTCAAGGCATTCCGTCAGCTCATCTTCCTCAGCCTCCAGAGCACTAATAGCCTCGATCAATTCTGGTTTCCGGAGTGCGTCAGAAACATCCAAACGCAACTCCTTTGCAAGCTGTAATAACTCCGCTTTACGCAGCAACTTCAAATTCATGGCTGTGTTCAGTGCGACCTTTCCTACTGTACACAACTATCTTGCCGCAGCCCACTTTGGCGACAACAATAGTTCGAATTACCAGTTACGCTTCCCCACTGAAAAAGCCTGGCAAAACTCAGCAGACAAAGCCCCGCACTCACCACTCAACAGCCAAGAATTCCGCGTAGACCCTCGCAAACACTGCATCTGGTTGCGGCCTGGCAGACGAGACGGCTCGTGGATCCGTGTCGCAGCTCAGCCCTCGAGTCGTCGAAATGACTGCAGCATCCCACCGCTGCCACCAGTTGTTATGGGGGTGTCTCTTGACCGCCGCCGTCAGCAGGTTGTGCTCGTAACTTGCATCAGGGCCGACGAGAAGGGAAGTACTGGCGAGACGGCGCAGAACAGCAAATCAAAAGAGTTTAATACTACATAG